AGTAGTGATCAGCCACTTATTTTGTTTATTGTGCTTGCTTTTTCGAGTCGAATGTTTGGTCAGAACATCGACTCAGCAAGATGCATCGCATAAGAAAACTTGACTCAATATGCCGAGCTGATTTTCTGAAATATAAATTTATTAGTTTTACAGCTGCACCCGGAGGTTGCATACGTACCCGAATCGGGATCAAGTCGTTCGTAGTTCATTACAAGTATTGAATGAGTGGTATCACTCAGGGGCTGAGCCCGGTTTTATTGAAAAAAATAAAAAGTTAAGACTTATTGTCGAGTCTTTGTTGCTTATTTAGCGTCTTCGAGTGCTTTCGCCGTGGAGAGTCGCACTTTGTGTTCACTGATGAAGCAAGATCTTGCCATCTGTTGATCCCCGCGAAGCGTGAAGACTCCGGCCGAAGTGACAAATTTCATGCATTGATGATCAGTCGACACGATTGCTTTCATCTTGTGGATCCAAAGTGTTCTAAGTATGGCATTGTAGATTGCTGGCTTGTCCATCACCGTGAATTTAACGATTTTTGTCACGCCGCCGGCATAGACCGCGAGTCGTATGGTGCCGAGGCTGAAGAAATATTCACTGGCAAAGCCAGTTAAAGGCTTCGGCGCTGCCTTGATGTCTTTGTCCTGGAATCCCATCTTAGTCAACGTATCTTTGAAGATGATGTTGACCGTGCTGCCGGTGTCCACCAAGATTTTGGTCACCTCGCTGTCGTGGATATGTAGTTCGATCACCAGCTGGTCGTTATGCGGGGTGTGTAACCCGTGCATGTCCTTCGATGTGAAGGTGATCGTAGGGTGATAGACCATGGGGCGAGGGAATTTTCGCGATGCGACTGCTTTTCGTCCATACTCTTTGATGGCACAGACCGAGTCATCGCAGTCGGGGAGTCCTCCCATGATCATATTGACCCGTCGCATCGGTGGAGGAGGCGGGTTTTTGTGTTCTCTTTCGTCGTTCTGACGCTCTGCTCATTTCTCCTTCTCTTTTTCTTCGTGTCTTCTTTCGGGCGTGCAACTTCGGCGCCTTCCTCCAGAACTAACTCGACTGCTGCTTTTTTTCTCAGATCCCTGCGATCCCGGGTGGAAGTGGATTGACGCGAGTCCCTGGGGTTTGAACTGCGTGAGTAGGAGCTTTTACTCCGGGATCGATCACCTCCGATGTTGATTTTGCCTTCTTTGTATTGTTCATACAGCGTATTGTGGAGGTGTCGGCAGGCCGAAGTAGCGTGTCATGTTTGTCCGTGAAAGGAGCAGTAGAGGTCGTGATTATCGTCCCTATCGCTTGTGCTCCTTGGGGGGTCTCCTAAGGCCCACTGATGCCAGAGCTTCTCTGTGGTTGCTACGACAGCATGAGAGGAGGGCTTGTTTTTATTCGCGGGCTCTTTTTCTTTTGAAGTGCTTGCCGTGTCCAAGCCGTGTTTCTTGGCATAGAATGTTTTCTCCTCCTCCATCTGTATGGAAGTCTGGGCCCGATGGAGTGCGTCCTCTATGGCTTCTTTCGTGTGTTTCTGTAGATCTTCTTTAAAAGAAGTTTCGTACCAAAGACCGTTCATGAGTGCCTCGATGGCTAAAGCTTGAGGGATTTGCCCGTATGCCGCAGCGGCGTTCTTAAATTTTTTGATGAAGTCGCGGAGTGGTTGATCGCGCTCTTGCACTAGAGTGAACAGGTTGACCGTCCTCTTCGTGATGAACATGGAATAATGTTTGATGAAGGCGTGAGTCAGATCCTTGAAGGATTTGATCGAGGCCGGGGGTAGGTTAGAGAACCACTTCAAAGCATCTTTGTCGAGGTGTTCAACAAAGGTTTGGCAGTGGTTGGCTTCTCGTTCGAGGTCGGTCTCGAATTGTTGCCTCTTCATGGCGGCGTTGAATCCGGGCAGCCATAGATTGGGATCCTCCATCTCGTTGTAGTATGGGAGCTTCAGTTTTATTGCCTTGCTGAGTCGGACGTCGGTGATCCGTGGGACGAATGGATTGCGTTCTGCACCTGAGAGAATGGCTGAGATCTTGGGCGCCGAGCTGGTGGCTCGATGGACTTGGGACCCGATCACGTTGATTCGTTGATGAAGCCTTGCGATCTCGGAATTCAGTTCGCCAGATGGCTCCTCATCGTCGGCTGCTGTACTCCGGGTGTTGTTTTGCATTGGTGTTTCGAAGATCAAACATCGCCCGGTCGGCTCTGATCTTGCGGTTATCGCGGCTGCGAAAGCGCTGAGTTGCTCATCGTATTTGGCTTGCTGGGCCTGAAGGGTGTCTAGTTTGGACACCAAATCCTGAGTGAGTGGTTACATGGTAGCCTGGATACCTGCTGCGAGGTCAGCAGCCTGGAGGGGAGCTGGGGGTGCTCCCGCGGGTGAATTCACGGTAGTGATGTTCGTATGTTCACCGAGAGCAGGTGTCTCGGTGTGAGTGGTGTCATCGTCGTTGCGGATGAGATCATTGTCGTTGACGGGGAGGCTCATCGCTTCGGCTTTCTTACTTGGTTTTTTTTTAGAATTTATTCTCCTAGTCCCCACAGACGGCGCCAATTGTTGAACCAGAAAATCACCACTAGGGTTTGATTAACAGTTATGGGTTTCAGAGAATAAAGTCTTTTATTATTAGTAATAAGACGAAGCAATTACAAAGAATGGGATAACCGAGAGGTTATGCCGAAGTGAAAAGAAGGTTTGTGAAGTAAACTATAAAGCGTTGAAGTCTCTGGTTTTAGCTCTGCTGCTCTCTAGATTGTATGAGTTGTTCTTCTTGGCTTCCAGGTCCTCTTTATTTATAGGGATGTGAGGTCGGTTGCTCCGAACTCCTTTTCCTTTTTGTATTTGTGTATATTTCCATATCATAGATATGGAAATATCCTTTATTCTCCGAGAAGTAAGGAAATTCTCCTTTATCCTTTGAACTAATCCGGTGTTTCCGGTCTTCCAAAATTATCCTTGAGAGATTTCCTTAAATTCGAACTAGGTCGACACGGTCTTCTTTGTCTTGATGGGCTTAGGTTATTGCGAGAAAGACCTTTTAGGAAATGTGCTCATTTCCCCTCTAACACTATGCGATTAAGCAAACATGAAATACTACGAAACTAATTGGACATTTATATCCAAAACGTTCATGCAGGAAATTTAAACTTCGAAATCAAGCTAGTGGCTCTACGTAACTCTCTACATTTCATAATTCATATAGCTTAGCCAACAAATGAAACGAATATAGTAAGTGTAAACAAAAATTATATATGCTGATGCTGAACTTTCAAATTTCAGCTAATCTAAGCATCATCTTTTGTGTGATCCATTTAAATAACAAACTTTTCGTTGACCAATGTTAAAATCACAAACTTATATTGACTTGGCCATTTTAGGCACGACGTTAACATCACTAACAGATTGACTAAACGCCGTTTGGTCAACGTCTGTTAGTGAATTCAATGTCATGCCTAATATGGCCAGTCAATATAAGTTTGTGATTTAAAAGATAATCAATATAAAAGTTTCTGATTTAAACTGTCCACGCAAAACTTAATGCTTATAATGGCTGAAATTTAAAAGTTTGGCATTTAAATGATATTTTTTTTACAAAACGGTAATTTTTATTTCTAATTGAAAAAAACATCTCAAACTTAAGATTATACAATGTGAAAGATTAAGAATCTTAAGGTTTTTGAAGTTTGTAATTAGCAATAAACTGATAAAAAAATAGCTTAAACTTAACCAATTGAGGTTGTTTGAGATAACACATGATTCACTTAACAATGTGATTTTCTAAACAAAACCCAAATAGTTCAAGATGGTAAGATTACTACAGTTCTCTCTCACAACTTAAAACTCGAATCTTTCAGTAAAATTGTGATCATGAGCGATAAATAATCACTGTTTTATAGATTTTGTATATACTAAACGTAACCAAATTAATATCCTATTATGATAGTGCTAACAAAGTAGAACAAGTTTTTTGTGTTTGGCATCTTTGGAAAAGAATAAAGAAAAAAAATATGAAATGTACACACTGCACAAAGCAAATGTTTTTTTATAGTTCAGTTATGTAAATAACTAAATATGAAAGTTATTGTAATAATAGAGATATTAGTCACACGCAATTAGTCGATAGTCTTCTCTAATTTATGGATTGCACTCAACAAGTCATTTATGTATCACAATCTTTCGTAAGATTTTCATTATTAGAAAGTCCTTAGATGTGGTTAAATTGATTTTTTAAGTTAAACTCAATCTTTTCATTTTTTATTGTTTTGGTGTAATGTAAATTTAATTTACATTTAAATATATTTTTTAATTAGTTTGAATTTACTTGATTTTGCAATTATGTAAACTGATGAAATTGAAGTTTAGTTAGTAAAAAAAAGAGGAAAATGTCATTTAAATGTCAAAATTTTAAATTTCAGCCATTATAAACATTAAGTTTTGCGTGGACAGTTTAAATCACAAACTTTTATATCGATTATCTTTTGAATCACAAACTTATGTTGACAGACCATATTAGGCATGACATTGAATTTACTAACAGACATTGACCAAACGGCGTTTAATCAATCTGTTAGTGATGTTAACGTCGTGCCTAAAATGACCGAGTCAACATAAGTTTGTAATTTTAATATTGATCAACGAAAAATTTGTTATCTAAATAGATCACACAAAAAATGATACTTAGATTGGCTAAAATTTGAAAGTTCAATATTTAAATAGCTTTTTTTAACTTATAAAGTTATTAACAGAAAGATAAGTTTCAATTTTCAAACAGGGCAACCAAATGAGCAATTCCAAGTTTCCTACCAACCCAATCATATAAAATTATATAAATCCAAACGCAGCGATATTGTATAAATCAGGCAAGTGGACATACATACACTCGTGCATCCACCATTCCATAGTATATTATTAACCCATAAAGGTCAAAAAAGTGTAAACTTTTTCTACGAAAATTTTCTCTAGAAAACAAATTTTTAAAAACTTGTTCTCGGATATGAAAAAGCCTGGAAATAGATACTAGCTTTAACCATGGGCCATCACGACAAAAGACAAATTAAAAAAAATCACATCACTTATCTTAAAAATTAAAATAATAATTTAGATAGTCCCACTTGCCACACTCCAAGACAACAGTAAAACTAAACAAGTCAAAAGAGAATATTGAAAAGGACGAAAAGGATACTTCCTCTCACGAACCCAAGAAGCTAACCACGAAACCTCTCAGTCTCACTTCCCCTCTTTTATATAAACCTCTCTCAATCTCAAAACCCCAAAGTCCAACAAACAATCAAATAGAAACCAGACTCCAATTTTCATCTATGGCTTCTTCTTCTTCACAACAACAAGAACAAGACCAATCAGCTTTAGATCTCATAACTCTACACCTCCTTACCGATTTTCCTACCTTAGATTCATTCGTCTCAAACATCCAACGCTGCACCACTTCCACTCTAAGCCAACGCAAGCCACCTCCTGCCACTATTGCAGTTCCAACTACTGCACCGGTGGCTCAAGAGGATGATCAAAGGCATTACAGAGGCGTGAGGCGAAGACCGTGGGGTAAGTATGCGGCTGAGATTAGAGACCCAAACAAGAAAGGTGTTCGTGTCTGGTTAGGTACTTTTGACACAGCCATGGAAGCTGCAAGAGGTTACGACAGAGCTGCTTTTAAACTACGAGGAAGTAAAGCCATTCTTAACTTCCCACTCGAAGCAGGCAAGCACGAGGACTCTGATGACAACAAGACTGTGTCTTTGAAAGCTAAGAGGAAGAGACAAGTAACTGAGGATGAAAGCCATGGGAGAAACCTGAGCAGTCATAAAGCTGTGAAAAGGGAAGAGACGGAAACTCAGGGTGAGGCTTGTCCGTTAACGCCGTCAAGCTGGATGGGGTTTTGGGACGGAGTAGACGGTAAAGGGATGGGACTATTCTCTGTGCCTCCGTTATCTCCTTATCCATCTCTTGGACACTCTCAAGTCTCAACTCGTGGTTAAGTAAGCTTCTGTGGGTCAAATTGAGAAACATCCAACATTAGCTGACATCAGCAACTTCGGATTATACATCATCCACAAGCAAAACACCAAGAAAATGATAATAATAGCAGAAACGCGTTGTATTTAAGATTTACTTAGCTTCTAGATTAGTTGATTGTAAATGCTTTGCTATATTCATTCATTCTTCTTACTGCAATTATAAGACCTCAAGATAAGCGTTTTTTTACAAAACAAACTTACAAGACCATATTTATGAGTCCTTTGAGCAATACGATGGTCACGAATCCAAGACTTGTGTTGTTCGTCTAAAAGAACAGATACCCACATGCAGATGCACCTTGCTTCAACCTATAAATTTCACCATAGAACAAAAAAGCTCAACAGGGTATTAAGTAGATGGCAGCATAATTATAGCTTGATAATGACTGACCCACTTGTAACTGTTGATGGTGAACTAAAATTCTTACATGCCGACATCAAGCGAAGGTGGACCTACCTTCAAGAGAAGTAAATGATAAGATATCACTTTGTAAGAACTGATCAGACAATTCCATGGCCAAATGGGTCCTACAAAGACAAGACAAGTACTTTTGGAACCAATGGGATGTTCATCCTAACTATAACCTTTTAACTAAGCTATATACATGCTGCGCAACATCAAACCAAGTGGGTCTTTGATCAACAACAGAGTTCAAATTTCAGATACCAAAGCCTACCAAGTGCGTCTTTGATCAACATCAGAGTTCCAATTTCAGATACCAAAGCCTCTTCTCTGTTGGACATCTTATGTGAAATACTTCAGTTCAATATATATGTACACACACACACACACACACAACCGTTATACTGAAGGCAACACAACCGTTATATGGAAGGCAACCATTGGACTAAAAGCACATAAGACAACAACTTAAGGAGGTCCTGAACCAACAAACCTGTCTTTGCCAGATCATTATCAATGTCTTCACTGCAAATAGAAAACGCCGAAGACATAGATAAACAAATCTAATCCATTCCTTTTTTTGCCTGCTCCACCAGAGTCTCTGCTTCCAGATGTAGTTGATGCTTAGGTCGTAACATGTTATACATCATACAACAATGATATGATTACCTTGACTATTCCGAGTCACCAAATGATAGGAAACAGAGGGGAATACTGAATATGAGAGCGTATTGTTTAGTGCTTCACCCTGACTGTTAAGACGTTGATTACCAAGTGACAACGCCAACTACGTAGGAATTGATCTAAGTAGAACGAATATATAGGCACAAAACTTCCGTTTTAAGTACGCTATTTATACTTTCCATAGCATAATATCCATGAATACATGATACAATTAAATTGAACAACGTTTCCATTGTTGCTAACATCATGTATCAAGTGAATTGATCATAATCGACGTCTTGCTACCTGCAATCACAGAGAATATGAGATAATTTCGTTGTATAAACAACTAAGTGACATATAAAAGACCAACCGGAAAGCTGTTGCTTACCTTTGAGTCCTTAATCTTCATGCCCTGGACTCATGGGAGATGAAATTTTCCATGATTTAGGCATGGAAATGATCGATGATATGCTCTATGACATCTGCTCCTTCTATATGCATACTTTTGTCTTTAACCTGTAAACGACATAACACAGGCTATTAGACTTCATGTTTTTTTTAACAAGAAGGTATGTGGAGTTTTATTTTATCTGGATGAATTGACTCCATGTTATCATGCAAGCATAACAAAGGAAATATAAATATCAAGAAAAGAGGCAATGAAAACCCTTAGGAGGGAGGATAAACAAATGTTATATATTGAGGGATGGCGGGAGAGAGATAGAGACCTGTATAACACTATGGGCAGCGAATCTCTGCCTGCTACTGTGAAAGCTAACATCAACTTTTTCCCATGAGACAGAGGAGAGGCCTTTGATCATTTCTTCTGGAAATTCGAAAAAGGCACTACGTTATTAAAACATTATGCTGTACATAAAAACAAGAAAGCAGAAGCACTACGTATGGTAGACCCACATATTAAGTGTTTGTACGTAACAATAATTTCTTTTACCAGCTTTGCAAAAATAAGAGCAGTGACCAATAAGTTCTACAACAGAACAATTAAACACCTAAACGGACAGTGTGCAAGCTGACCTTCTATGTCGTTTGAATGATTCTCTCCTTCTGGTATATCCTCAGGATCACATGACTTGCAGAGTTCTTCGTAAACAATATGAGGATACTTCTCATTCAGAGAATCTTCCCACTGGTAAACAAGAAATTATTCAATTATCAGCGACCCATCATATCAAAATCCTGAAGCAAATGAAGTAATCCAAACAGAGTCAGATACCTTAGGCAATTCACTGTCACGTCTAATAGATGCCGTCCTCCAACCAACGATGTCTATTCATATCTAGTAAAGGAAAAGAAACGAAATGGAATGGCACATGCTAAAGAATATATTACTGAAAGCAACACAGAAAGGATACGATCATGGCCCACATTTGAATAAACCACCCGCCTTTTGAAGGCACGCAGTGCAGATCTGCAACAGAGGAAAACATATTCTAGTGAGAACATCTTCGAGACATGGTTAGTACTAACTTGTGACAAATGGGGCATAGAATGGCATACATGAAATGACAATCACCGGTATCTTCCACCATGCGTCGAAGCAGGGGTGGTTTTCCCTCTTCTTCATCTTTCAAGAAAAGGTGACGGCCCGTTTTTTTAAATATCCAGTGAATAATCAGACCTGCAACTTTCTCAAAGGAAGAAACACCAAAGAGAAACGGAACCTGGAAGCAAATACCAAATTGTTCTTCGTGAGAATAACATCCGGACATAAGTGAAGTAGTAATTTTAAACGCACAAACAGATTTCATAGTTCAAGAAAGCAACTGTCACTTATATCTTACTATACATTAGGTTGGTGGAAGGCTGGTTGAACAAAGTACCAAGTTAAAAGTAGCTTTTATAAGTTATCACACAAGCCATGCTTAATTGCTTATTAAGTTTGTTTTTTTTGCATTCACCACCAGAGTCATTATGCAATGAGCTTTTGTAGAAAAAATCAGTTTCAAAGAGTTTGTAAAGACGATTTAAAAAAATAACTCACTACAATAAATCCACAGCGCAATCACATAAGCACACTTAGTTACCTGTCTATTACCCATTGATCCCAAATGTGGTGTAGCTACAGTGATGAAGTTCATAGCCTCGAGGCCACATATCGTGCCTTCGGAAATCCCTTCACTACTGTCCCTTGACGAGTCTTTCATATCTTCCTTATTAGCTGGCTTGTACAGCTTCCCAATTGCATATCTCGCTGCAAGCCCTCCCAAAGAATGTGCAACAAAGGAGATTTTACGGATATTTGGCCTTGTTTGAATAATTTCAAGGACCTGACACATTCAAAGAGTGTCTTTTAACATTCATTTTTCGTTCGCTAATGTCAATGAGAGATGAAGTATGTGATGTTGCTTACCTCAGATGCAAGACGTTCACCCATTACATCCACACCATCTAGAGTAAGCGCAGACGCATTTTTCTCACTACCTGCTTAAAAACAGCAAGATCATAAGAATCTTGGAGCAATATAATAACTCTCAATTATGGAACAAGAAGTACAACAACAGTGCCTAATTAGTAGGCGAAGTTAAGGCAAAGGGACCACTAATTGAAATACATACTTTATTTCTGATTAAGGAAAAAATAGTTCACATTTGCAAATTTTCTAAAAATCATCACTAATCAATGAACCATTGAAGAAAGCAAGTCTACTTACAGTGAACAAATACTTTGTCTGGCAACATTTTTACGAACTGTTCTGCTCCGAATTTCCAATCGTCCGTACTGAAGAAGCAAATTAAGGAGATAACATTACAATCCTCGTCCCAAATTGGTATACATAATCGAAGAATCAAAATTGTAGAAATTGTCAATTGTTACTGGGAATTAGCGAATTGCAGAAACTAGCATAATCGAGGAATCAAAATTCTCAAACTACCTTCCCAAGATTCCATGGACCATAACAACGAGGTGATCGGCGGAAGAAGAATCGGAATTCTTACAACTCCAAACATCAAGGCTCCCGTCGACAGATTCCGCCGCGCAAACGCCGTCCTCGTGCTTCTCCATTTTTTTATCAATCCGGGTCAAAACAAACAATCGAGAATTCGATCCGATCAGATCCAATTACGGCAGCGAAACCAACTCCGAAACACTCAATTTCAGAATCTCCCCGTCGAGAGAATTGGGTACGGTGAGGAGATTGTGGAATTGAGAAACAACAAAAAAAATGGTGGGGGAACTAAACGAGGATAAGCTTTTGTACTAAGAGTAGAAACTGTGAAGTGCAAATGAAGAGAGGAGGAGAAGAGAGACTTGCCAAAGAGGGAAACGAATGAAAACGTGGAAGAAAGGAACCGTGAAGAGGTCGGCTTCGAGTGGGAGATGCCGACTTCCGAGTTCCTAGAACCAATAATTATATCTCTAGGGTGGGCATATTATCAGTTATATTTGATTTGATTGGTTATTTGCTTCGATTTGATTCGAAAAATCCGGATATCCATAACGATTCAAAGCAAAGTAAATATTAAAATATAGTATTAATCTAAAACAAATTAAATCGCAAATACTAATTTTCAAAAGTTCGGATATCCGTTCCGATCCGCAGATTATATATATATATATTAATATTATAAATTTTTAATATTTTTATATAGTTTAATTATCTTATTAACAAATAAAAAAAGAATATGTATGATAAAAATACATATAATAATTTTAATGTAAGTAATAAACATCTATAATAGTTATCAAATATTTGAAATTAAATTAGAAAAGTTTATATTAGAGTTTTAATTAATTAATATTCTTTTTAGAATATAAAACATGGTTTTTATTTTTCTATCATTATAATTTATTATTTATATCCTTTTTTTAATTAAAAATAGTTATTTCACTTATTTTTAATTGGTAGTTCATATTTTAAAAAGAAAGGCATGTATTTTCACCTTTTACTTGTATTGAATGGAACAAATTTAATATTTATAAGTATCCGTAAATATCTGCAAATATTTGTAAATTTTCCGGATATCCGCATTTCTGAATATCCGTATTTTTTCGAAGCAAAGCAAATCACAAAATTAAATATCCGTTAAAAACGGAACAAACTACAAATACTCAAAATTTTCTGGATATTCGCTCTGCGCCCAGGTTCTACGGTTTTGCTTTTGTTTAGTTTTTGAATTTCAGAAACAAAAATAAAGCTAAGGATAAACTTTGACTTTTTTTAACAAGAAAAATCTGTTGACTTCTATGATATGTCCATTACTTACAATTAAGTATATACTCGCGCTACGTAGCCGAAAGTTGGTTTAAACATTTTATTTATATGTTTAATATTAACATTGAACTAATTATTTAAAAATATATTATTTGATTTGAAAGAGAACAAAGTAATATTGACATTTTGTATATTATGAAAGTACCATGAAACCAAAAATTGATTTATTTATACAGGTTATTTTTTAATTATCTTTTTGTTGATTTAATGCTATACTTTGATAAAATAAAAATATATTAAAATTAATATTATATGCATATTTTAAGAAATATACAAATTTGTTAATGAAATTCTGTTTCAGATGCATTTTGTGTCATAGTCATTGTTTATCTAATTTTTACCAGAGGTAGATGTAAGGCAACACATATGGTAGAACGTGCTTATGTGCAATTTTTTTAACTTTAGTAATTACTGCACCTAACCGAATCTTCTCTCACCAAGAGCATAATTCACGGTATTATCATTACTGTCTTAAACTGTCATCCCTTTAAATTGATATAAAAATTCACTCAAATGATATCCTACTTAATTTCATCATAGTTTCATATTTTTTTAACTTAAAAAATAATCGCTCACTCATCTAGTTGTTTTTCTCCAAAACATGTTTAAAGTATCTAATGATCTACTACTTCTTGATTATAGATTTTGTGAACATGCATGCACAAAAATATTATTTAGAATAGTGTTTCGAACTTTAAAGTTTTGAAGCTTAATAGTAAAACCATCTTAACGTTAATTTATGCCATATCATTTATCTTTTTTGTGCAAATATAAGTTTTCTTAGAAAATATATGTATTAGATGTTTTGTTGGGTTCAAAGGGACAAAAATGATTGTAATGGTGAGCTGAGGTCAAATTAAAACACTAATAGACACTTGGATGATGTAAAACCATATCTAAGCTGTGAATATAAAAGGTCAAGATTGAAATTAATTCTCATATATATTTATTTTGAACGGAAAATACTTTAAATGTAAAATTTCACAATAAAACTATTCTTCAATACAAAATTTTATTTATTTTATAAAAATCTTTTTCATTAATAAAAAAACTTTATGTTAATCTGTTTTATAACAAATAAAAATAATCATTGTTCACTCAAGACATATTCATAGATGTTTGGCATATTTATATAGTCCTCACATTTTAAATGTTATCAGCTTAGGGTTTATCTTTACTTTGTCTCCTTTGTGAGCTGATATGTTATTTCAGTCGTATAATATAAAATGTTGATCTTACACATACTAAACTTATATCATCGAAAACTATCGACAATTATGGTATAAATTTAAAATGTTGAATCTGAAAGAAAATAAAACGCTAACTATAAAACGCTAAAATTGCTCTTTTTGAGTATCTTGATATCTCTTGTTTTGAATAAAAAGAATACCCTTTTCTTAAATCAAAATCATTTCTCCATCATTATTATAAGGAACAATGGTCATTTTACAACATCTGAGGTGAAAGAGTCAAATAAAGATTCTGAAACTATGAGTGACATGAATTTCTCAAGTGACACAATTGGAGGAAGAGATCTGGTGAGATTATGCATTTCTCATCTCTTGTGATGACTATGCATCTTTTAGTCTCTTGAGACTTTGTTAATTGGGTAAGTATCTTCTTCATTAGAGTTCTTCACTGCATTATTAAATTAAAATGTTTTAATGATTCTTATGTTATTTATTTTATGTTATTCTTTTAACAGTCTTTGTTGAAACTAACCTAGCGAACTAAATCCAATAGAAACCTCAACTAAGACACTATAAATTGGTTCAATTTCCACCTGAAAATCACATTTGTATGTTTGCCTTACAAAGGCTTATGAATAATAACCAGTTGAAACTTTAAAAAAAAATTGATAACAATAATTAATTAATTTATTTTTTGTGTTTTTGGATTTATAACTCTTCCAATAAAATTTCAAAGTGAGTCTAGAGAGAACCAAATCCTAAAAACAGTGTAGACTTAACACCTCAAAATATCCACGACGACGACTACACAAGAAGCCTCACACGAGCCCAATCCAAAACTTGGTTTGGTTAAAAAAAAGCCACGCTTATTTTTCCTGATCATTTTCATAGATTTATTTTTCAGTTTAGTTCGGTTTATATTTTTAACGAATTTGCTATAGTGAGCAATGCATTGATGATTTTACGGAGATTACTACTATAGATTAAGGGAAGAAATATTCAAAAGCACAAATACAAATCTCTTGATTAAAAATATTTTGATGGCTATTACGTTATAAACCAACCACAATACTCACTCTCTTTTTTTTTACTCATACAATAAACAAAAGGTACATATAAGATTTTTGGATACCGTGAAAGATAAAGAGATGCAATTTATAAAAATGATGATGTGTTCGTGATATATTTAGAGTTTTTTGAGAAAATTACAAACCGAGCTAAGAACATTGCTTCCTCGCATGCTCATGTACTAACTTAGCTACCATCTCCACTGACATACCTTTCAGCTCTGTTTCACAACAATAACAAGACGATTCAAAACCTTTTCACATATAGAACCAAACTCTGTTGTTGCAAGTTTATGTTAAGATGTATCTGAATCATAAGACGTTAACTTTGTCGTTTAATCGAAGTTACTATATCTACAAAATTTTAATTTTTTTAATTTACTGTTATTTATAATTTGGATTTAGCAGAAAATAAAATAATTTCTTTTTATTTATTGTTATTTATTATTTGAGTTTGGAAAAAAGAAAAAAAAAATTATTTACTGTTATTTAATATTTGGACTTGAGTTTGGCAAAAAATAAAAAAAATATTAACAAAAAAAATATTTTAGTTTTTAATGAGTTTAAATTAAAAAATAATAAAAATTAGTAAATGATATGTATCAATTAAAATGTGTTGATTAGTTGTTGATTTTGTTGATGTGTTAGTTTCTACTAATTAAAAAAACTGATGTGCTATGGAAAGACTTTGGTGTTATTGTTGCATTGATTTCTTCTATTGTTTACTAGATTATTTTATGGTTAACCGATTGGTTATTTAACGTAACTGAGTTATGAAAAAAAGGAACTACTCGTAGCAGTTACGATTATGTGTTTTTCCGAAGGCAAAATATTAAGGTTTACTAAATTCAAGGCGATGTGTCAGGCAAAACAGATTCGCGGTGGTGTGCGAGGCAGAACAAACATATACAAATATTCACAATCCAATTTCTTCACATAAGTTTAAATGGACCCAAATTTGAGTCTTAACTTGATTAGATCCGGAAAATATGAGAAGTACAAAGTTCTTATATAGTTACAATAATGATTTGAACTATCTCATATATAAATTCTTTTTCTGTAACAGTATTAATTTGAGTTTGTCAGAGAGTTCAGAACAATCAAATAGCCATCCAATCAAACTATTAAATAGGGACAAACAATGGGCCAATAAATGATTTAGATCTCAGTGAATTACTAATACTGTTCAAATGGTCAATTCATAAGGTTAACCGATTTGCAAAATATTCATTAAACCGACGATTTTAAATGGTTAAGCGAAACTATGCAATTGTACTGGTTTTTTTCAAAAAGCATTTAAGAATGACTACAACGTTGAGGAATTCGATTTCAATTAAACAGATTTGACCATTTCGATAGGTTATGCAATTCAAGTGATGGTCAAATCTGTTTCAAGTGATGCAATTCAAGTAACATTCTTTCTGAGCATTTGGCAATTACACAATGTTTTAATCAAATAACTGAAACTATGAAGCTTAACTTAATTTCTTAAACTAAATTTTAATTTGTATTATTGTAATGTTGTTCAAGTATGTCATTACATTTAAACTAATCTATGAAAGTACACTGACCGATAAAGATAATGAATAGTCAATTTCTTCTTTATCGATATAATCAATTAACAATGAAAGTCTGATTGTTTTTTCATTCAATCTAGTTTTGTGGGAACTGATTCAGAAGCTAAAGTGGTGTAACATCTTGTGATGCACAAAGCATCTCAGATCAAGTGTTGGATTAGATTAATTGCTTCATCATTATCACCGCCTAGAAGAATTCTTTAGATAATTTTAAAATAAAACAAAAACTCAAATAAAACTTTTAAAAACTCGTAAAGAGGATATTAAGGAGATCACTCAGTGGTGGCTAGTGATTTTAGGTTCGATTCTGCCAGCAGTTATCCTCAGCTGTAATCAGAAGAGGGAGCTGTGTATCCTCATCGTAATCTCCAAAACCCCTCATCAAACGCACGACCGATTTAAAATCAAAGAAATTTTCACGAGAAAACTCAAAATCCAATAAAAACTCACATTAGAAAAACAAAATCAAAACCAATTGAATGATAATTTAATGGAAAAGAGAAGGCTCAGTTCAGCGGGATTATCGACACAGAAACGAATCTCCAGTTACGGTAGAAACGCCTAATTCCGGTCTGTTGAGCTTGAATTTCCGAGTCGTCACTGCCTTAAAAAAATAAGATTATCGAGAAACTAAAGAAATCATAAAAAAAACAACGATTAAAACAGAGAAAGCTTTTCTTGAAAGAGAGAACACTAGATGCAACTGAAGGAACTCTCGGCGATTGCTGTGTAATTTATAGGAACCGTAATTAGGGTTAAGCTAGGTCTTCGATGGAGTTTTCGTGGAGGCCCATTCTCGGCCCGTTAGATGATTTCAGAATTGTGCGCCTTTGTTTTCGCGGATGTCTTGGTTTAAATTCGGTTTGATTTAACTTGGTTCGGTTTGGGTTGGAATTGAAAAATATTTGATGTCGTCTCTCTCTGTTCAAGTGTTTTACGGGGCGATGGAAGCACTGAGAGCTTCCTACGGTGGTGACTCTTCATCTGATTCCGATACCGATGATCTTTCTCCGGCCGGTTCCGTTTCTGCGAATCCCGGCGAGAATTCAACCGGCGTGAAGCACGAGAAGGAGTCGATTGCCTTGCCTCCTCCGCCGCTTTCGCTTCTCGATTCCATCGGATCAACTGGTGATGATGATGCTCATGAATTTGTTAACTCCGATTGTTCTTCAATCTGATTCATACTGATAAATTATCTCAAATTGAATGTTCGCTAGATTTCTTCTCAACAGAGCCTGTGGTTCGAGTAAGGAACTTCCCTCACGTCGATGGAAATTACGCCTTGCACGTTTACATCCCTGGTAATCACTTTTTTTTTTCCAGAAACTCGAGTTTCATCATCCTTCATTTCGTCTTATGCTCGAGAATGTATTCGATGAATTGAATCACTTTTCTCCTTCATTTTGCTTTCTGGATTCTAGTTTTTATACCTCTATTGCCGAAGAAGGAGATTGTATGTTTTCTAAAGAAGGTTGCATCAGTTGTTCCTATTCTTCATCTAGTAGAATCTGATGTTCCACTCAGCATCCTGTGCAAGGATGACCAGAAGCTTGAGCATGCCTTGGGGAGAGAGTTCCACATAAGCTTGGGAAGAAACGTTCCTCTACGTGTTCATCAGATTAACTCAGTGGTCTCTATGCTTCGGCAAAAGCTTCAGTTACAGAAGAGGTAACCGTAAAGATCTATTCTTTTTTTTTTTGTCTACCATATGAAACTGTATACGATTGGATTTTTGAATTGTTTTTTCTGTTCTTCGACAGATACTGGATCGAGTTTAACAAGTGGGAAGTCTTTGTGAATGACGATTGTACTCGCTCTTTCCTTTCTTTGGAAGTCACTACTTCTGGACTATCTGAGGTATGCTGTAGTACAACAAGATCTTACCTTTTTTGCATACTCATTACATCGTTTTGTAGGTATTGAACTGATTCACTTATGTTTGATTCAGATATGTAAGCAAATTGATGCTGTTAATGAAGTTTACAAGCTTCATAATCTGCCAGAGTTCTACAAGGTCCGTTTGCTTTTTCTATAGTACTTTACAGTTTACAGATAGTAAGCTTGATGATATATAGCAAATAAAATCATCGTCACCAACACTTAACACATCGTTTCTGCTTTCGTTTAGGATCCACGGCCACATATATCCTTGGTCTGGGCGTTGGGTGATATTAGAACTTCTCTGAAAGGAGCTGTTGATGTGGAACTGAGGAAGCTTAGAGCGAGTGGTTGCGTGCAGAATCGTATCTTCACCTCGAAGTTTGGTGGGATTGAGTGTAAGATAGGAAACAAAACACACAAAATATGTAAACTCCCAGATGAATAACAAAATCTCAGATTTCTCAAAACCTATCAGGTATGCTTTTGTAACGACATAGAAGCATGAGTTTCTCTGTTTTCTTGGGTATTCTACATTATATAGGTCTCAGAAATCAGAACATCATTCATAATAACAATGCAACAAGAAATCATTGTGATTGTGGAAAAGATAGATACTATTGAACTGGCTTTTATATTACAAAACCTCTCCATGAAAAATATTCTCTGTACTGAAGGAAATCAACAGATTTTCTGTAACATGGAGTGGAAGAATCGACTGAGCATGCCAATAGTCTTCTCGAGCAACCTCATCAAACTCGGGGTTGTAGCAGGGAGGATGGATGTGATGAGAATGCAGTAAAGCTTGACATGATCAGGCGCAATGCTAATCATAGCCGTGTTGTGCGAGAAGTACATAGCCATCATACAAACCTGAAGCTGGAACCGCAATGGGAACCCGAGGGTGAGAATGTTTAGCATAGAAAGTGAAACCGAAAACCCGATTGTGTTAAAGAACACAAACAAAGTGAAAGCAACTCCATTAAAGGTCCCCATGATAGATTGCCCTGCTGTACGAGCTTGTTGATTTGTTGTTGTATTCACGCTCGTTATGTTCTTGGAAACATCAGGTACATAGCTATCTTGCCAGGTTCCACCAGGTGGAGTCAGGCTGGCTTGAAACGTGGCTGTGGCGACCAGTGAAGCCACCACGAGCAAAGCGCTGCGTGCCTCTGATGGGGAGTCTCTGTGCTTTTTGAAAGTGAAGTACTTGACAAGATCTTTGTGGCTTTGTGACTCCATTTGGCATGTGGAAGTAGAAGTGGTTCTCTCGACATTGGTTGTACCGATGTCTCTCCCTCTTTGAGCCCCTGTCTCGATGAGTTTCGCGTGTACCTCTCTATCTCCAGCTTCGCTCGGGAACATAACCAGCAAATCCAGTGCAGAGAGACCCATCTTGTTCATAGCATTCACCTCAAATGTCCTTGATTCTTCTGGTATTGCCTGAACCAACACTTCAATCACCTGTAAGGTTTAAAAGATTGTCATTATACTCTTGGACAGTTGTTTAACCAGCAACATTATTCTTCTTACCTGGCGATTTTTTCTCCATGTTGCTAGATGAAGAGCTGTGTTACCCTGTTCATCTTTCTTGTACAACACTTCGATTTGATTTGTCTCTGTGATCAACTCAACAATGGCGATAACCGCTTCTATCTCTTGGTGCAGAACAGCGAGATGCAAAGCTGTTTGACCTTGAACCGTCTCGTCTTCTAAGCAATCAACACAGCTCGATACAATCTCTCTGATCACATCGGTTTTGCCTCTCATAGTTGCTGCATGAAGCGGAGTCTTTCCATCTCTACCTTTTATCCGGCAAAGCTTCTTATCAATTCCCAAAAATGCCCTCACGGTATCTACTTGGCCAGCTGCTGCAGCCGCATGAAGAGGGCTAAAACCTTCTTTGTCCAAGTCAAAGACTGACCGTTGCCGGAGAATCTTCCCGGAGACTGCATACTCTTCACGCCTGGGATTAAAAGAGGTATGTAGAGGATCAGGCACGATCTCTTTGGGTAGATTAGACTCAAAAGCATCCATGTTTGGTGATGATGAAGAAGAGAGAGAGATAAGACAACAACATTGAATATATACTATGAAGGTGTTATCACGACAATGCTTGACACTTATTCTATTACAAAACTCCCTTTGACATTTGACTTTGTAGCTAATGAAGAATTCCTTAAATGAAACAAATGGTTACAAGTGTCAGTGATCTGCATTCTAGTAATTTAACCAACGACATCACACAACAATTTGAGTAATATAATAATTTTTGGGTATACGAATCAAATGACGAAGTCAAATTTTAGACGAATTGACTAATCAAAATCTCTTTCAACTGTGAAATTGGTGTGACTAATTCAAGACAAAAGGATTTAGTGATTGTGTTTTGCCTTAAGGCTGGCTCTTTTGCTAATGACCAAGTATGTGACTGTACGACTGCATAAACCTTAAACATTCTGCAACTTTCTCATTGAATTTAAGAAGAGACAGTTTTTTGTTATCATGGAAGGAGAGTTAAAAGAAAACAAAGACCCTTAAAAGGAAATACTCCTAAAACCCTATAAATCATTTCAATCATCTCTGTGTGGATGAACCCTTTTCTTCCAGGGAAATTTCATTTAACCACAAATCAAAATCATTATCCATGATGCTGCTAATACAGTATTTGAAACATGTTTGCTTCTAAAGACCAGGAATAGCCTCCAGGTTATACTTTTCTTCAGCTTTTGGAGTTTCACCTTCACGGCTCTCCGGCGTCTTCGGCTTCTCCAACGCATCTAGAGTCTGGAGATACATATACGAAGAACTCTGACGGATTTTGCTGCTAGGGTTGCTTATTTGACTAGCAAGAAACCGACGGATGAGTCCCCTCAGAAACGGAGCCAATGTATCAGGTTCATATTCTAGATAGTACATGATTCCTCCCATACATCCACAGAACAAAGCCACCTGATTTTCATTGATTGCATAAAAGAATCAGTTTCATTGTTAAGGGAGGAAGAAAAGTTGGAAACAGCCATTGTGGTTGAATTGTAAGTACCTCAGCGTTTTTGATGTCGGGAAGAACGTGGCGGTTGATAAGTATCTCCCAAAGAGAATCTCCTGCTCGAGGAAGAACATATAGAGCAAGCTCAGAGCGTCTTGGTTTCTTCTCCAGCATAACCGAAAGTGCTGCTACACCACCCGCGAACCAATAAACGAGCTTGTGGTCCGTGGATGCAACTTTTCTATGCGCACATATGAAGGCCTAGTGCAAATGGGGCACATACATTTTGGTAATGATTTTTAGGAAACTAACTGTGCGAGATGAGAGAAAGATGATCAAATGTACCTGAAAAATTCCAACAAAAGCAGACAAGAAGGAAGTCGATCGAACTGAATCTCTGATTGCATGCCAAGATGTCCGGTAAGGAGAAGCCATGAACTGAAAGTGCAAGGAAATACAATATTATGTCTGAATATAGGACTCTACAAGACTGAAACGGAAGAGATTCAAGGAAAGAAAGCCTTACCTTTTGCAGGTGTAGAACAACATATGGGACAAATGTCAGGGAGAAGTACAATGGAAACGTTTTCTTGAATGTAGCTGACATTGCATTAGCGTTTTGGGCAAGGCACGAGTTAGTGTTTGGATGAATAGCTGAACAAGGGATGATGGAAGCAAACTCTTCCACTTTCACGTCACTGGCTTCGTTTTTACTAGAGGTATAAGCCGCTAAGGAAGGTACATCGATCGGACCACCTCTGCAGCATTCTCTTACAGCCTGGTAGACAGGTCTTGCAACTGGACCGGTCTTCTGTATAAATTCTCTATATGATTTCGGTAAGGTCTCAGGACGCATTATAAAGGCATACATCACCTGAACGGAGCGCATCGCAACAGAATCACATAAGTATGATACAAAGCAATAGATGAAATCGCACGAACTTATTTACTAGATTGCTTCAACTATTCAGACTAGTAGTACTAGGAAAAGAAGAGAAGAAGGAAAAATCTCAGTTTACCTGGGAACAAGCAAGAGAAAAAAGTAAAGAATCTCCATGTCTCCAATGGCTTCCCCAAAGATGGAACTTGTTCTTTGACTTTGCGGAATTGTAAGCCGCCTGTTCACAAGAAGAAAGTTTAAGACTCAAAAATACATCTTTGTAGTAATATTACTCGTATGACAGACAATTTGATGTACCTGGCCTAATCTAGCCAAGAGGTATAGAGCAAGTGTGCGTCGCTGGTTGGAATCGTCTAAAGCCAAGACAGACAAACCCGCGATTGAACCTGCCAAGACTCTGCTCCACCCTTAATCAAAATCATAATAAGGAACAAAGCACTATGCACAAGCAAACAGCAGAAGCAAAATAGTAACCATAAGAGACTTACGAATTCAATGGCGTCTCCTTCTTTCTCCATTTCCTCAAACAGCATCTAAGCGCGTGGTAAGAGCCGGTAAAGCCGCCAAAAAGTAGACCAATACGACATGCTTCTTCTCTAACTATCAAATCTTTCTCCGAGACAAGTTGCTGCAATCATAATTGTTCATGTGTGTGTCAATCACATATACCAAGACTCATAAGGAAGCAGATTCTTCTCACACATCCTAGACGAAAAATCACTGGGGAAGTAAAAGCAAGAAAGCCTAGAAATCGAAAACGAATGTCTGTGGCCTAATTCGAAAAAAAATCAACTGTGAAACAGCAATGCTTGATCTAGAAGAAGAGACAATAGAGCTTGTGTCAAGATTTGAACACCTTAGCTTCTTCATAGCAATATTTTGAACCATTTTGGAACAGCTACATATTTTATGTCCAAGTCAATGACCCATTGGCCCTAATTTTCAAAAGAATCTCGATCAAATGAAATGCTGAAGCAGACTCGTATGACTTTCTAATATCTTATCAAAATCCATTGAGCAGAAGAAACCCATGCAATTTCTATCTACTTCCTCGTTTTTTTGCTCACCTTCAGATCGAGAAGAGAGGAATAAGACTGCCCCCTGGCGAGCTTGAAAGCGCGGAGAAGGATTCCGATCCCAACTCTAACGCCATAGGAGAGGAGGAAGCTCTGGCAGAGATTTCCGATGGCATTGGCGACGCAGGAGACATCCGCGTGATCGCAGAGCTCCGCGTGAGATCCACGCGCCGCCGAACGCTGTCTGCGCTGAAGCTCCGCCATGGCATCGCGTAGCCTCTCCTCCGCCTCGCGAAGCCGGCGCTCAGCCTCCGAGCTGTCTTGGGCGAGAGGAGAATTCTGCGGAGGCGACGAAGAGGGATCCAGAGCCGGCTTGGAGAACGAAGAAGGCATCTTTTAAATTAAGGAATTGAATCGGAAGCTTTCAAGCTCGGAAGCTAAAAAATGATGCAATTCATCGGAAATGAAAAATTTTCAGAAGGGAAAGAAAAATGTTGGGAGTAGTGAGGAAGAAGAAGCGATGGGGATAGGCCATGACACGTCATCATTTTTTTATTTTTTATTTTTTCCTTTATATGTGAAAAATCCAAAAGAAAATACTTTGCTTTACTCGAAATCCGAAAGACTAAAAAATGCAACTTGTTTCGCCCCATGCCTATTTTTTGCGATCACGGACGCACATTTGTGATATTGTTGGATGAAACTTTTTTTTTTTCTGAATTGTATGAAGTGTTTGGGTTTAGATCCTAATTTTTTCCATAGCGCGGGACCAGTATTTGTTAATATCATTTTAATATTTCCTTCGCAAATATTTAGATTTTTTTTGTTCTACAAAGAGTGATGTTTTAGAGTATTAAATGTATTTGCAAATCTCTATTCTCTGATGACACTCTATCTATGGAAGATGATTTGAACTGTGCAGAGATGGATTTGATTTATGAGGAAGAGGTCAAGGAACAATCCATTGGTGGTGGACCAGAGATGAAATCGGCACAACATCAGCTTCCGGTTATTGATACAGAGGTGGAGAAGGGACCTAAGGTACCAAGTGGTGACGTTAAGGTGGTCACTACAACCGGGGAGGAGCACTTTGGGGACCAAAGCGGTTATGAAGCTGTGGAGATGGAAATCTCGTTAAAAAAAATGGAGATAAACATTTATGGAGTGATATTAGTGAAAGGGTAATTGATGAAGATCTTGTGGATAATACAACATCAGATATCACAACTGCGGTTTCTAGTGACACATTATACACGGAGAAGGAAGTTGGGGCAGGGGTTCAGAAAAAGAAACCCCTCGGCTTCAGATGGGTTTCAATGGGCAAATGCAAAAAAGAAGTTGGTTCAGGCTATGGTATCGCTGAGGAGGAAGGGGCATTCGAAGATAACGGGACGCACGAGGGCAGCCACACAATGGGACCAGGGTTTGAAGGCCAAAAATGTGGCCAAGGAGGCCGATATTCCTTAGTTTTTTATGCGGATACTTAGCTGGAATTGTCAGGGTTTGAGTAACCCTTACACAATAAGTTATTTACAGGGAATTTGGAGGAAATTTAAACCGGAGTTTCTTTTCCTTTCAGAAATGAAAAACTGTTTTTTTTTTTATACAGCAATTTCAATTTCATTTCGGTTACAATAAATTGTACACGGTTGATCCTTGTGGCTCTAGTGGCGGTCTTGCCTTATTTTATGATAAACGGATGATTGATATTGAGGCTTTACATGAAGGAAAAAAAATCTGCTTAACTTTCATGTACGGAAACCCAGTTACAAAGCTACGACATCAAGTATGGGAACGACTGACGAGAATCGGTCTAACCAGAACAGAACCATGGTTCCTAATTGGAGACTTCAATGAAATAACAGGAAATCATGAAAAAACAAAGGGGAATATTAAGACACCCATCAACCTTTGCAGATTTTAACGCCATGATAAGTAATTGCGGGTTATTAGATTTCCAAAACAGAGGAAATAAATTATCATGGCGTGGAAGAAGAATTTGTCAGACGGTTCGCTGTATATTAGATAGAGCTTTGGCAACGGAAGATTGGCATGATTTATACCCGCACTCATATGTCGAGTACCCTTGCCTTGTGGGGTCGGATCATAGATCAATTGTGGCAACAATACAAGCAAAACCATATAAACGACGGAAACAATTTCGGTTCGATAAGCGGTGGATCGGGAAGGATGGGCTTATGGAATCCATTGAATGCGGTTGGCAGCAATTCACTGGTAGGGAAGGACAATCAATAGTAGATAGAATTGCAAGGTGTATGCATGAAATTTCAAAATGGCGAAATGAAAATAGGCCCTACGGAAGGGACAAGAT